TGGTATTAATTCACCACCTAAAAAAAAATGTTCTCAAGTCCGCTATATCTTTTTTTGTTACATTAATAAGGATTTGACTAAAATTTTCTATCAATTTCTTATTGCATCTCCTTTCAGAAGCTTCAATTGGAAGTTTTAGCCTTTTAATCATTAAAAGTTTTATTTTTCATCAGTTTTTCCGAAGACAGAAGCCATTTTTCAAAACTTACTCTGCTTAATTGGTCATAGCTTTCTAAATTTAAGTAGATGTTTTAAAAGTTGGATTTATAACATGCAAAAGATAAGCAACACACACACATATAGGTTTAATAAGATTAATCAATAGTAATCACAAATTTTCTTCCTAATTAGAGTTGATCTCAACTTTCATTTTCCAATTATAGCTATAAACAAAAAAAAAAAATCAAGGGCAATGACAAAATGTCTGAAAATAGACCAGTTCAAATAGCTTTGAATAAAAGAAATAAAATCTTTTTATTTAAAATTTGTGTTATTTACACATACTAGCTATATCATTTTATATTTCTCCTCCTCAAATTCCGAACCAGGTAGCGCACCCCAAACATCATTACTTTGCAAAGTAAAACCCTAACATCAGGACGGATAAAGGGTGGGGGCAATGGATGCAGCTGCCCTCATTCGAATCTTGAAAATTAATTTTAAATTAAAGTTATTTAAAATTTTAATGATTTTTGCATTTTGTCCCAATTAAATATTAAAAAGTAATTAGAATTACAAGAATAATCCAAAATTTTTATGTTTTATTTTAGATCCCATTAATTGTAAAACAAAAGTTCTTAAGTATGAGTCTTTTATAATATTAAAAGATATATGAATATGTTAAAAATTAAAAAAAAAAATTCAGTAAAATAATAGTTCATAATATAAATAAAAAATTATTATATCAATATTATTGATAGTAAATATAATAAATTTGCTCTCATTAAGTATAAATCTTGAATCTGCCCTTACCAAACATCCTTATTAAACAGCTTAATTTAGTGTTGTAATAAAAAAGAAAAACAATTAGTATCGATGATAGAAATGTATTTTAAACTCCAAAAAAATTATTAATAAGATAATCAGGTCTATTTTAAAATTAGTAGATTTTTAATTTCAATGAGTAAGACAAATGGTTGATTGTCCAAAATAAACTAGTATTATAACATATATTTAAACAAAAAAAAAATTTAGATAGAAGAAGACTACTTTATTTTAGAATCAAGACATGCCATAAACTTAGTTAGGACTTATATTTAATTTACAAATCATTTATTATTGGAGACTGTTAATAACAATAATTAAACTTAAATTTTACAAGTAAAATATTTAATCCTTATGAAATTAACTAACTCTAATTCATGTTACTACTATGATATTAATAACAAGAAAGGCAGTTTCTACATTCCAGGAAAGAACCAAAAGACAGTTGTTTCCTAATATTTTCCGTGAAATTAAGTACCCTTTAACACAGAAACAAATTTTCCTTTTTTTTTTCAAATAAAAAATCTTTCAAGTCGGTGATGAAAAAATTTTCGGGTCAGTAGGTGGATTCCCATTGAAAGGAAGTTTCAAAATCCAAAGAGAAATGATTAATGCAAGGCAACTTGGCCTTCAACACCGACCAATATAACCAATCTGAAGCAGACGGATGTTTGTTATGATCTTTTTTACTATCTAATTCCTCATAAACATATGGCACATTTAATGAGAAATGCCCCATGTGGAAATTCCCTAGTTAAAAATCTTTCATTGGTTGGCATGTGAATTATCAAAATTTTGCCGCTGTTGTTATTAGATTCTATAATTTTTTGCTGACCAGGAAACAAATAGTCAACTTGCTTTGGGGAATCCAATGGGAGTTTATAAATTTATAATCATGTCCTTGATTTGAAAGTGTGGAGCAAATGTTCCTTTCAATGTAGAACACCCTCCAAATCCATTCCAAGTCTTTTCAATTTGTTTTTTAACCTTGTTTAAACATGGACACACAAACAACAAGATTAACTTAAGTGAGGAACAATGTGCTTGTTTAAAAATTAAAAATAGCGCTTTGTTTCTCAAGGAACAATGAAGAAAACAGAACAAAAAAAAAAGAGATAATATAATTTTTTGTATTTGGGATTATTAGGATTTGAATTTTAATTATTAAAAATAAAAGTTCAATATTCTATTAACAAATCATATGATTATTGATTTAAATGATTTGATTTTGTATTCAAAAATTTTTTATGTACTAATTAGAAATTATTAGGGTTTAAACTTTAATCACTGCAAATAACAATCCAATAATTTATCAGATAGAACAATGGATGTCTTTGTCATTCATTGATCGTAGCATACGCTACATTTCCTTTTTGTTCTATGATAATTGGGTCATGCACATGGTAGATCTCTTATTCTGCAGTACAATCTCAAATCATATATATATATATATATACATATTTTCAATTCCCTGATCTATAGATCAATTAATCTACGAGAATTTACAATATCTCTTTCTACCACCCAGTGTGTTGGCTTGGAATTTGGAGAAGTGGGATAAGTAGTTGAAGTTCGAATTTCTTATTGAGTTTCGTTGGCTACTCTATCTTTTCTGGCCTCACGAGTTGTTGTATGAAACACTGATAAGCATGTAAATCCTAGTACAGCTCAAATTCCTGGCAAACATTCTACTACGATCTACATTTGTTTTCTAAAAAATGATTACTTCTAAGGATCTAATACTTCATACGGACAACATAGGAAAGGGAGAAAATCTCCTGAATTGATGACCTTACTAGTAATTTGATCAGTTGATGTTCATGAAGCTTGTCTTTGGGGGTGTGAATTGGCAGTTGTTGTCTTAGTGTTCATACACGTAGTACTGAAAGAATTATGATGATTTGCTGTGTAGATCCAAATTACATAAAAGCGTCTGAGAACATTGCTATGACAATTGGTCTTTGCAAGAGGGAGAATGTGAAAGTTTGGGGATTGATTTGTGTGATTGCATGCAGGAGTCTGAAAGGTGTTAATGATCATATAGATAAAGCCAAATTATCAACTTCTTTTTCTCCACATCCAAAGCAAGGTTTAGACAGCAGTTGATACCTTCCCCTCCCCCCTGATTTGACACTTTCGAGAAAACCCACTTGAACCCATGAAGGAAGTGAGCTAATAACCATGATAATTCCCCAAAAACCCATAATAGCTAGAGATCCTCTCATTCCTTGTCAAAATAAAAACCCATTTTTCATTTTCAAACAATGAGTCATATCCTCCATTCTACTTGCTTCAACAATGAAGGAGGCGGCATCTTTTCGTGGGTAAAGTCGGAGGAGACAAGAATCTTTCAAAAGGAGAGAGATAGAGAAGGGAAAATAGAGAAATAAAATGACTTTTGAACTAGGAAAGAGTTGTTCTAAAATTGCTAATTTGTGGCATTACTCGTCATCCTGAAATCTCTGAAAGTGACTTTTGAAATTCTGAATTTCTGATGACGATATTTGAAATTGGATTAGCTTTAACTAGCAAAAAGTGAAGCTTTTAAGGATTGACAAAGTGGTTTTCAATAAATTAATGGGTTGGAGTACTGTGAGATTGAAGCGCTCACATGCAAAGCTTTTTTTTTTTTTTCCTTTGTATAGGTGTTATTTCTGGGTTCAGACGTGCGATGAATTGAATTGAAGTAAAACAACTGAATTTCATCTATAATTTTTTATTATAAAATTATAATTATTCAATCATAATAAAAAATTCTATAAATATTCATCACATATAAATATGAACTCAATATAAAATTTTACTAAATTACACATAATTTTAAATTATAATTAATTATAATACTATGATTATAAGTCATATGTTCTCAAACAGTCTCACTATCACTATCATTCATATTTTCAATTTTGACAGTCTCACCATCATCCCTATTTTGAAGGTTCATCCAAAAATGAATACCTAAAGAGTCAGCCGACTGGCTTAAGGCCATTTCAGATGCATGAAGTTTGATGCAAGGCAGAGAAACATCAGTTCAAGTAGATTTCTTCTATTTTCTTGGGCCTGAATTCAAGAATTTGTTCCTTAGTTCTTTTAGTTCTTTTGCTTCAAATGCTAGCCATTTATAAAAATGTACACATCCAGACCCAAAGGCTTCTAAGCCCAATGGCCAAAATTTCATCCAATTTATCTACTAAAATTAAATCACTAATAAGAAGGGTAAGTTGCTCAAAGGTAGAAGTATGCATGAGTGAGTGAGGAAAATTTATAGAAAATGTCACCCAAAATATAATAAAAACAGTTAAGAATTGTGTGTTGAAGAGTGAATTCTTTTTTAAAACAAAATAGCTGGTAACAATTTAGTAAAATCGTGAATGAAAATATAAATAATTTATTCATTTTGAAATAATATATGCTAAAATTTCTTTGCATAATTAATGTTAATTATGGTATTAATCGCTAAAGTATAAATAATTTAGATTTAGGTCAATCCTTTTCTATACATAATTAATGTTAATTATAGATTAAGGTACTCAACCATCATAAAATTATTGTATATAACATTCTTATAATTGACTATATAACAACCATGAAGATTTAAATCATGGAACCATTGGAGACTCGTGTAAGATTTGTAGACCCCATTTGATGTAGCCATGAAATTTCGCAGATATTTATATCTGTGTGGTCCTGACTTAACCACACTTCTAACAGGAAATTGATTGGCTAAAGGGAGAAGAAAAGAAAAGAAACGAAAAGAAAATTCATGGTATTAATTGCTAAGAGTAGGGAGCGTGTAGAACATGCTCAACGAAAATCAAATCAAATCAAAGACAAAACACAGTTATGAAAAGTCATGAAAGATGGGCAGATTCATTCAATTGAGTTAATGAGTTATGTATATGTATATATGTATGAGGAGAAGCCTTCACTGTTCAGACAGAAACAAAATAGCTTGAAATATTACATGAGAGAATAACAAACAAAGGCCTGCTGGATAGCTGTTGCTATTACTGCTTAGATAAGTCCAAAACTACTGCAAATAAAAGTTCGAAGATTTCTTTATTATTTTGTTAAACTCGTAACTGCGTAGCTCTGTCTTTCTGTCTCTTACTTATTTTTAATTTCTGTCTCTTTACTTTTTTTTAAACTATAGTTCTCTTTTTTTCATTTATAGAACTAAACTGTACATACAAGACTATGATGAACGAGACCTACAGCAGAAGCTCACATTTTTGCCCATTGGATAGAGCTTTTCTAATGGCTAATTTTGCCCAACAAAAGTTTTGCCCTTTTTTTTTCCCCCTTCTGTTTTCAGCTGGATCTCTTTAGTTTTAACCAAAAACAAAAACCCCCAATAGTATATTACGAAGCTCCTACTCCAAGGAAATCAATGAAAGGCATGTTGTTGATGTTCTCATTTCCATTTCCACTTTCCCCAGACATGGAGTGGTTGGTCCTATTTGTGCCCACTGACTCAGCTGCTGAAACTTCTGAGTTTGAATCTGATGAGTGAGCAGATTGGTCTACACCCATAACAACTCCCATTGGTCCTTGGTGGTAAAATACATTGCCAGTGCCATAAAACTTGTCAAAATCCCCATTTCCCCTGGTCATAACTTTTTCACCCGATGAACCTGCAAAAAACAAAATTACACAACATTTATTTAATAAATTATTACCATAAGATATGATAAAATAAAATCAACCCACCACGGAAAAGTATAAGCACTGTATAATTAAAAAGCAAATGATCATTACAACTGTTGGTAAAATAGAAAAAGTAAGCATACCCATTTGGTGAACTGGACTCAAACTGGTGACAAATTCAGGGGGCACTTTAGTTGATAAGGGAGTGAGTGATAGATCAGTGCAAGTAGAGGCAGATTCATCTATGTTGCTAGAAATGGTTGATTGATCACTGCAAGCATTGTTTTGAGCAGTCACATCCAATCCTTTAGGGAGGGCCTGAGAGGCAGAAGAGGAAGGCTTTCTCCTTCTATAAATGCTTGATTGCTCTCTATGTTTCCTAGCCATGATCACATGCCAATGATTCTTTACTGCATTATCAGTCCTACCAGGAAACAGTCTAGCAATCATCGCCCATTTGTTACCATACAGCCTACGTGCAGCTAAGAGCCTCTCCTCTTCTTCCTCGGTAAAAGCTTTCCTGTTAATTCTTGGATCCAGCTGGTTAAACCATCTTAATCTACAACTTTTCCCTGCCAATCATACAAAAAAAAAAAACAGCACCATTTAGCCAAAAGATTACACTTCTACAAAACTAATGATTGCAAAATGGAACTTAAAATTGATTTAACCAATCAGATTCAAAGCATTGTTAAGATCTTCCCTTAAAAATGTCGGGAAAAAAAAATCTTCATCTTTGTCTGGTGAAGATCAATCCAAAAAAATAGACACATAGAGTGTTGATCATTTTTGTTTGACATAAAATATTGAGTTACCTGATCTTCCTTCAAGGTGCTCAGCTATCAAGTTCCAATTTTGAGGACCATATTGGGCCACAAGCTCCTTTAGCTTAGCATCTTCAACAGGTCTCCAATGGCCTCTAGCACAAAGCTTAGTGTGTTCATTTTTGTTTCCACCAGCAGAAGCAGAACTCTTATTACTTTCATTTTCACCAACTAAATTCAAAGACAGTCCCCTTTTTTCAACACCCAAAAATCCATTTTTTCCATCACAAGCAGCAGCTCTCTTAGTTCCCCTGCTTTCTAATGGCTCAAAGCCCAAACATTTATTGCTTTGTTCCATTAAAGAGCTTGAAATCTGAAACCCCATTTGAGAGTTTGTTGTATATCTTTCTGTAGGATGAGAAAAAAGAGCAGGAAGAGCCAAAAAGTTCATCTCTTGAACCACCCCAGTGTAGCAGTTAAAATCATTATTAAGATTTTGCGGACTCATTGTTAACAAAAACCAAATAAACCCAGAAAAGAAAACCAAGAAAAAAAATCTGTCAAGAGAAGAAAGAAGAAAGGTAACTGATGATCAAAGAAGATAAAAGCTAGCTATCTCTCTCAGCCCTTTGAGAAGACGGAAAGGAGAAGAAAGAAAAAAATAGGAGGACGAGGCGAGATGGTCTCTTGGTAATCAAATGTGTGGGGTAGAGAAGAATCAAAGGAAAACAAGGTTTAAAAGGGCAGGGTTTTTAGTTATTTTCACTGCTTAAAAGGGAGAGAAAAAAGCATAGAAAAAAAAAAAAAAAGATGAGATGAACCCACACGATTCTTGAATTCTTTCACTTTTTCTCATCCCTTCCTTGCCCTCTTCTTCATGTACTTAAAAAAGCAAAGAAAAATGAGGTCAGGGCAGGGGCAGAGGGCTCAAGGTCAGGGGGAGAACATTTAATAAAGAAATGAAGTCAGTGGGTTTGGGTTTGCATGCAACTCGAGAGCCGCTCGTGTGGGTTGTACTGGTGGTGGGTGAGTGCGTCTCTCTCTCTTTTGTTTTGGTTTTTGAATGCGTTTAGCGACACTGATGCTGGTTGTTCTTGTTCCTCTTTTCTCCTTCTCATCGGGCTTTGGACCAAAACCAGAAGCTGTTTGTCTTTTATTCAAACCCTTTTGCTTTTTGTCGAAGGCAAAAATAAAATTCATAATATAAATAAAAACCCAAAAATTAAAGGAAAGGCTACATAATTTGCATTGTTAAGGTGTCTAACCACCATCCACACCACTTGCCCTCTATGCCCTTTATTACTGACTTTTTTTTTTCTTTTTACCATCCTTTTCTGGTTAATATAAATAAATAAATTTCGACTTGACATAAGGGTTGGTCTGGATTCAATTATCTCCGATTCAATCATTTTACGTTTCAATTTTTTAATATTTAATGCTTTTGAGTTTGGGTCGTTGTAGGATTACATTTAATATAGATAAATAATTATTTTTTAATATGATAAAAAATTGCATTATGAAGATAGAATAAGATATTGAAGTTATTGAGATTTAAATTTTAAATTGATTTTTTTAAAAAAAAATTGATTATATGAATTAATTGAATTAAATTTTATATTTTTATAAATAAACAATTATAGTTTTTTTTTTCATAAATTTTATTATTTTTTAATTATATGATTTTGAATTTACAAAGTAAAAATTTTAATATCAAATTTATGTTTAACATTATAGACTTTTAATTTACGATTTAATTCCGAGTAAGTTAAGTATCCGTCAAAACTTAAAATAATGACGATATGGCCAATAATAACTATAAGAGATGAGCTTCCCAACACAGACATAGATTTGTCCAATATTCCAACAAGCGGGTATCCTGGATGTAAGCGCCTTTGTCTTTGGAAATTAAACTAAGACTGTGGATTAATTATCTTTAGTTTTCCTTTCTTCTGTTAAGTTTTTCCATAAATGAGCATCCATGCACATTTTTCCTTTTTTAAGAAAAATTCTAAAATAGAAAAATCTTGATTTTATTTTTTTTGGATAAATAAAAGTTTATGTTAAGGAGAGGTTTTTCATTTTAGGATCCGAGTAAATCACAAATTTTAAAAAATTTTAAATTGGATTTATAAATCGATAATTAAAAAAGCATTGGTAACAATGAAATCAAATTTAGATTTTATAAATAAAGTATTCGAATTTTATTAACTCAATCAGTTCATTAACAAATCTTGATTTTATTTAATTAGTAGTGAAATCATATCATTTTCTAGGTTGGCTAAAGAAAATCATTGTCTTCGTGCCTTTTTTAATCTTAATTTTTCAACTGAAAACTAATTGATGGATAAGCATTGATGAAGTATGTGACATATCTAGGTTTAAAATAGAATATGATGTTTGGTTGGCAACCAATTACTATATACCTTTAGAAAGCATATTTAATTATTTATTAAGTCTATACTAAGGATAATATATAAATTTTTACCACTCATCTTCAACGAGTTCAATTTCAACACTATGGTTCATTTTGAATCAATATTACATATAAAAAATATTAATCAATTTCTTAAATGCACTAAAATGAAAAAAAAAAAAAAAACTGTCTTTCTTAAGATAATTAATTTTGATATGAAAATAGGGCTTGATACTTATAATTCATACATTTTATATATATTTTTTCTCTAGTTAGAGTACAATTATTCTATATGTAAAGCCCCCTAGAGTAATAGGTATACTCAAAAGCACATTTGAGTTCATTTAAAGTTATACAAACTTTAGATTTTCTCTTCTTTCTAAAACCATGTACTTGAGTAATATTATTTGCCTTCATAAATACATGTAATAAAATGCACATGAATTTTCTTATTTGCCTTTGTAAAGTATCATAAATCTTAATGGGGCCAAAAAAAAAAAAAAAAGGCAATACAAACGAAAAAATATTGTTTCTTTTGTTCCACATTTGCAAGATGGAAGCCTTTGCATGCACATGAAAAGACAATGAAACTCATAAGCAACAAAAACAAGTGGTGTTAATAGTTATATGATCTATTGATAAAATATTTATATCTTAAATTCATTTATCAAGATTTAATTTCTAACAATTTAAGTATAAAAAACAATACAAGTTTCAATATTATGTAAAAAGTTGGTGCAAAACCATACAAAACATAAAGAAATTAAAATGTTAATGATTCCCACCACTTAGACGAAACTGAAAAGTATAAATTTTAAAAATTATTACCCAATCGCAATAGATATGAAGATAATTAATTAATTAATTGTTGATAATAAAACCGAGTGCTTGACTAGTTTTCCGCAATAAAAAAATAGTATTCAATTTGTATTAGGGAATAAAATAGTTTAAATAAGAGTTAATTACATTTTTTTACTTGAATTTTGAGAAAATATATAAATGAATATCTAAAGAAATAAAATGTATAATTTGCTCCCTAAACTTTCAAATAATATATCATTTTAATCTATAAAATAATATTATTAACTTAACTCACCTTTATAATATTTAACCAATATAATTTTGTTATATACATGTTATTTGTTAAATAAAAGTATTAAATATTTTATAAAAAAATTTCATGTGAATGTCGCATGACAAAAAAATGATTAATCAATGGTTAAAGTAAAATTATTTTTTTACTTTTTATTAAAAAAAGATGTTGATAATATGTGTTAAATATATAACTTGATAATATTTGTGAAACAAACTATATATATAAGCTGATATAATTAACGAGATTATAATTTGGGTTAATATGGTACATAATTTAAAAGTTTATGTTGTAAATTATACATTTTATTTTTGTTAAGTATCAATTTGTATAGTTTTTAAAAATTTAGGTATAAAAGTGTAATTAACTCAATAAAAAATGTAGCTCTTTTTTCTATTTTCTTTATCATTTTATAGAAAAAATAAACAAATAAAATTTTATTACTTGCTTTTTTGGTGGGGTGAGTCATTCAACTTCCCTTTTCTTTTTTTTTTTCCTTTTTCTTTTGATTGATTTTTAGGTGACTTCAATCATTTTTTGTATATCGATGTTCGATTAGCTAACCTAAAAAAGATTAACAGTTATTATATATTGTTTTCTTTGTTGAATCTTTTTGACTTTTGAAATCATTGTCCCACTTTTATGCTTTCATAAAATATTCTATTAAAAAGTTGTGTATTTTATATTTTTTCAATTAATTATTTTGCCCATATTTTGGCTTTGATCTTATTATAAAAAATAAACATTGAATCGTGCGTATGATACATGTAAATTATTCTTTTCTTAACCATTAAACTATGAATTTTTTATTTTCCTATTGACAAAATGTAATGTAACCCATTAATTTTGCATAGGAGATTAAAATTCAACTTGCAATGTGATCTAGTTTGAAGGGCAAGCATGAGGTAGAAAGTTTGGTGAATGATGGCAAAAGGAAAAAGGTGAGGGTATCAAGTTGGCATGCATGCCAATTGAAATGCTTCTAGACCTAAAAAAAAAAAGAATTTCTTTAGAGGAAATTATTAGCGGATTTTTCATTAATTTGGATAGTTGCATTCATGATTCAAAAATTAGGTCAACTAAAGAACATAATTATTAGGTATGATTTATTAATTACAAGAATTACTAGTGAATAAGTTTCCATTTGGTCCATATATATCATTGAGTTAATACACATTTGGTCCATTACCAATATTAAAGTTCCTATAATTTAAATAAAGATAATAAAAAATCAAATTAGTAACTAAAACAAGCTATGACTACCAGATTACCTGCCTCCGATCCCTAGTTTGGTTATTAAATTTGTAATTTTATTGTATGAATCAAAACTGCAATGACCTAATTGTTATCGGCACCAAGATTGAAGGTCGAATTTTATAATTTTATCCCTTGTATATCGAAAATTTATGAAACGATTAAAATTAAAACTAAAACTAAGAACTAAAACAGGTAATGATGTAATAGTAAATAAATAAATAAATATATATATATACACACACTTTCTTCTTAAAATTTTGAAAGCTATCACACTTATCATGCATGCATGATCAGAAACCTTTGTCAAAAGAGAAATGGCTATGCAAATTTGGTTATAACGTATTTAGAGGGACTTTGTTTTGTTTTGTTATTTCAAAAGTACTAACAATAATGATGGGTTTGTTTTGTTATGCTTTGCTTGTTTGACTGTGGAAGCGATCATTGCGGGGAGACAACCAAACCAAATAAATACTAAATTAGTAATAATATATTTTTATTCTGCCTATATTTTCCATAAATAATAAATTTCTCCCCAAATATAAAGATTTCCTTTTTTAAACAAGAGTAAGATATTTCATCAGCAGTCTCTGTCACACGCAAATCTTATAGATTTTGTAATATGAAATTTAGTTTTTTTGGAATATATAGTGGTTTTTTAGTAAGGGACACTTAACGGATTATGATTCAAATACTAAGACTTATAATCGCTTTTTTTTTTTATTTTTAGTTATAATTTCTTTTATAAAAAAATCTCATATTTTTCCTTATTTGGAAAAATTCCCTGAGGCAAAAAGAGAAAAAGAAAAAAAAAAAAAAAACCCAAACTTCCAATTGTAAAGCACAATATGAGGCCATTATACCAATTGCTCACTTTGCTTTCAAGGATTGTAGTTAAAAAGGGTTAAATTAGGAACTATATTCATGTACTAATCAAACTAATCATAGTGTTGTGTTTTGTTGTTTGTTGCCTCAGGTGAAGAAGACCCTTTTTAATGTTAAATTTAAGTTTTAAAAGAGAATTTTTTAAAGTTACAATCGTCATTAAATATTATATGTATATAATTAATTAAATAATTAAATATTATATCCATATAAAAAATAGCTTAAGTGACCATATCTAATATTTTTGTTCATTAGACGGTAAAAATGAAAATTTTTTATATTAAAAAAATTGTAATTGTGAATAAAAAATTACATATATTAAAATTTAAATTTTAAAATTATTATATATTAATTTTTTAAAAATAATTTAATAAATTAATTAAAAATAAACTTCAAATTTAAAAGTGCTGAAAATTAACATTGATAAAACCTTTAGATGAAA